ACCCCCCCCCCCCCCTTGCTTCTGCAGCAGGAATGTGCCCTTCTGGTGGGTTCCGTGGTGACTGCAGGGCCCTCGGACGACAGCATGCGCATGCTATCTCCCCATACTCTCCCCTTGCCCACTCTGAGTGCATCACAGACTTGCAAACCTTGGAACTGGGCTCAAGGGCTGGAGTTCGGCGTTCGGAGCCCGCGGTTTGTTTGAGGCCAGGTAAAGTATTTGTTTCGGGACCTCTCTTGAAACCACTAGTGTCCAGTCTAGTAGGGGGAGACCACGCTCAATGGCCACTCTCCGCCTCTCCAGCCGAAGATTTGGCCCCTTCAACCCGTTCTGGGACTTGAAGAGAGCAAGGGCCCTGAAGAAGTATCCGCGCGCTCCCAGGAAGGAACCCTTAACCCCAAAGCCCAAACCCTAATCCCTAGACCCTAAACCCCCCAAAAAGCCCAAGCCCCAACCACCCCCCCCACCATCTTGGGAAGCGGAAGGTGGTCGGAGAGTTACATCGTGGTGCAGATGGTCAGCTGACCCTGAGGTCTCCCCGTGGCAAAGGTTCTTTGTCGGGTTTAGGGTTAGGGTTTAGGGTTTAGGGTTTAGGGTTTAGGGTTTAGGGTTTAGGGTTTAGGGTTTAGGGTTTAGGGTTTAGGGTTTAGGGCCAGGCATAAACCGTAACATGCGAAACAGGGGCTTCTTATGTCTCAGAGCCATTCTGCACCATCGTAGTTTGCTTGAGTCCTAGGGGTTACGTGGGATCTCTGGCTCAAAAGCCTACCTTGTCATGTCCAAGAAGAGCCTGAAAAGAGGTGAGCCTCTGGAGCTTCTAGAAAGGCTCAGAAACCCTAAAGGGGTAGTTTTCCAAAAAAAAAAAAGGGTCCCATTTAGGGTCCTTTTTTATACGGGTGCCGTACTAAATTGGGGACCTAGAAAGGGACCCTAATTTAGAGAAGTACCCATATTGAAGCCTATAGTACAGATCACTTAACTAAGCCTGGCAGGACCTGATAAACACGATGCCCACGCATTTGTGCTAACCCTAAAACCCTAAACCCTAAACCCTAAACCAAACCCAGCCCAATAGCACCAAAAACTGAACCCCCGCTCTTCACAACTATCCGGGATAGTGTCCCTTATACAACCCTAGCAAAAACAAAGGCCGTAAAGCCTTAAACCCTCACGCCCAAACCCCCTGAACTGGCAAGTTGGGAAAAACCCCGAACCTCAAACGCGAGTTTTTTTTATTGCTTTATATCATTGTATACACATTTGTATTAGTATATATGAGTATACATTGGTATATATGAGCATGTATTCACTGCCAGGCCCTTCCAGGGCGACGACAAAACCGCTTTCTGGCGGGCGAAGAAGTCCTTGAGGGAGCCCTGGCGTGCTCCGCCCCGGCTTTTTCTTTGAGTTAAGGTTTATGGGTTAAGGAGTTAAGGGTTTAGGGTTTAGGGTTTATGGGTTAAGGTTTAAGGTATGCTGCATGTGTCTCAGACCAGTGGCAAAAAAGGTTTATGGGTTAAGGTTGGAGGTTTACAGTTGAGAGGGGTCGCTGCCAAGGGTTTCTATGAAGGGTTGTACAAGGTTCTATCAAGATTGAATCGCGAGGAGGGTTGAAGAGTTTAGTGAGTTTAGGGGTTTTGAGTTTAGGGTTTTGGAATTATTGGAGGCTGGTTTAGGGGTTCGGGTTTAGGGTTTATGGCTTGCTGGCTGTGAGGGTTTGAGCAGCATTTCAAAGTCTGTGACTGTGACGTCTTCGTAGTTGCTACTTCGGAAATTCATCTTTCTGCAAAGGGCATATTACACTCGCCTGCTGTCTTTCATTATTATTTCTTTGCACATCCTTCTTGCTCGTTGTGTCGATGGTGGTCGCGGGTGGCCATGGGCACTTGGAGTGCGTCAGGTTCACGAAGGTTTAACTGACACGCGTTTCGGACCCTACGTCACTATAATAGGGACTAGACAATGGCAAGGCCGTCCGCAGAAACCAGAATGTAGAACAACACTTCTCACTGTAAGTCGGTGGGAACATCGGGAGACTCTGCTCAACGGCTCAATGCCTGCTACTCCCACGGCGCTTGTATCCCATGCTCTCAGTCAGTAGCCCTGGCCGTGGGCCCAATCATCGCATGGCACAGGCAGAGCCAAATTCGGAATCAGGCCCTGATTTCGCGGGGGCTTCCAGGAGGCAGCTGGAAGTTTGGCCCGTTTCGAAACCCTACGTAATACCTCGACTTCCTAGAAATAGTCAAGCCTTGCACTTTAAACCTAGACACTGAAACTCAGAACTATGGACAAGTACATGGTGCGAGACACAACCCTTGTTGGAATGCATGCTGTATGGGGACGCCTTGATCACTGCGTGGTAAATTCATATCGTGTTGTGCATGGAGGAGAAGAGGGCGCTAGAAGTGAAGTGTAGGTAGACAGTGGTTTTACATGTCTCCGATCAGGCAGAACTAGGGGGTTGGAGGCTGCTGTCAGACTGGCATTTGCTATGGGTGCACACTTGTTGGTGTCTTGTGTCCGGCAGCAGCTGAGGCACTTCGTGGGAGAGTGGCGGTGATGAGAAGCAGAACAGCAGGCGGGTGTAGGGGTTGCCAGAAGGGTCCCTTCAAGGGTTGCCCCTGCAAGATCAGGAGTCCTTAAGGTGTGGGGATTGGGGTTTCTAGTAGTTTCAAGGAGGGTTTCTGCAAGGGTTCCTGTAGGGGTTCTATGACAAGTACATGAGGCGTGTTCCAACGTGAGCTCCTCTTCTCCGACTGTAAGTTAAGGCAAAGGGTCCCAGGCCCGAACAATATGAGAACTACGGCTTGGGGTTTAGGCTTAAGTCTGCCACAACTTCACAGCGAGCCGCAATCTTTGATCTACCTGCTTCGCTTCCCTGTCCTGGTCTTATGGTAGCTTCTATGAAACGTGGACTCCAAAACGAGGGCCTTATGAAGCCCTGAGAACACTTTCATCGACTCCGTGAAGGCCCGGCCCCCACAATACAGATGTGGCCCTTATAAAGTCTCAGGGGCAAAGTAGGTAACCTTGAACCTTTTGGGGCTTATATGATCCTACTATAATTCAAAAGGTTAATTTGTTTTAGGCTAGGGTACTCAGCCCCTGACAAGTTGGGCCAGGGTGGCATCTTCACCCAACGTTCTGAAGCAGAAGGCGACGCATGGCGCTTTGCGAGAAGTGGGGATCCTTCGAGTTTAGGGTTTAGTGGGTGTAGGAAGTTTAGGGTTATCCCAATGCAAGCCCATGCTGAAAAAACAAAAAAGGGTTATCCCTTCTGGGTCGGATTGTGGGGATCGTACCGGATCCGATTGATTCATTTGGCTTGAGATTCCGGGCCCTGCGGTGCACACCGTGACCTGAACCTTGCGGGCATTGCCTTATAGTAATAAGTTGTTATCATTAGTAATAACACTAATGATAGTGATAATGATAAAGATAATAAATCGAATGCGACTGCTAATATAGACATGTCCACGGGCTCACATCCTGAAGGCGGACCCCGTGCTTCCATGATTACCCCCTTGCGTTGGCTCAAGAGCCACAATGCAAGAAGACATCGTACGGCCACAAGGTAGATCCTACAAGTCGTCGTGTTGCTCTTCCTGTTGCCGCCAATTTAGCATAGAACTAGCATGAGCCTTCCGCGTGTGATTGCATGGCTACGCATTCCAAGCATGCAGTTACCATTGCGCCTTTGAGCCTTAGGGTTTAGAAGACTTCAGGTGCATGTAGAGACTAAGTTACTAAGATAGCCGAGTACCAAGTGCGACAATAAACAACCTAAAGTCCTAATGTTCCGTATACTCCAGATTGACGTATATACCGTACTTCATGAGTTTGGGATCGCTAGCTCCCATGCCCCGACAATCTCGTGCGAACCGCACCTTGCTCGCGTCATTCCGCCATGCTGGCGGCCGGGTGTGCGTTTCCGCCTGCGGAAACTTGCGACAGATGCTGGGTGTTTGTCAAGGAATTTGGTGAGTAAAGAGGCCGTCGCATTTACTGTGGTACACTGCAGATCCCTATAACAGTCGCCAGAACCAAAACCATTCTTTGAGAAGCAAAACCTCAGGATGTGGTTTCTTGGCGAAGGCGGAGCCCATCTCCAGACAGAGGCTATCTTCGCCGGCGTTCCTCCAACTCTGCAGCACCGGCAGTCCTTAAGGCGGATCCGGACGCCTTACTCTATAAGGGTCTGAAAGACGTAAGTATGTCCCCTTATAGTCCCTCTTCAAGTTGGAAAGAATATACCCCAGGCCTCCTCAGTGGTAGTCTCATGTCGAAGTACCTACAGTTTCGGCAAGATACTCGAAAAAACCCGAAACCCTAAAAACCAAAAGCTCCTCAAGGCGGACGCCCTATCTCCAGCGAATGGCGGGGGAGATCCGATCCGAGGGAAACCTCCGGCGTGTTCTCGCCTTGGGCGCCTCCCTGTCATAGTTGGATAAGATTTACATGTTTATGGGTTTAGGTTTTAGGGTTTTCCCAGCTGATTGGGAGAGTCTGGGTTCAAAAAAGGGGTTTAGGGTAGACTTAGTAATTATAGTATGGGAACAGAATTTTAAATGTTTAATACTATCCCAGCCATAGCCAGGCCTGGGTGGCGGCCTCTTGCCAGCTGCCTTGGCGCAGTCAGGTCCAAGTTTTGGTAGGGCCTTGGTTTTTTAGGGCTTACGCCACTTACACCGTTGGGGTGATCCGGATGTGAGAGACAGATAGATAGATGGATAGATAGGTGGTATTGTAAGGACTCCCAGAAGGGGCCCTAATATGAAGAAGCCTGCAGGTGTGCAGGTGCTAGCCGTCGAGCAGTCCCCATCAGTTCGGGACCTAGCGACTCGCTTCTTCGGCGTGGAGTGCGCGGGCCTGGAAATAGTCACCGAGGATGCGGCGGTTTTCGTGGAGGCAGGAGGGCGCAGTAAGGGTCTCTTCGACGCTTGTGCCGTGGACATCTTTGAGGGCTGCACTTCCTCCACGCCGGCGTTTACACGGTCGCCCACGTTCCTCCACAGCCTCAAAGAGCTGCTGAAGCCAGGAGCCCCAGTTCTGCAAAACGTCATCGACTCCGCTGGCGACTTCCTTCAAACGGAGCGGCGGCACCGACGCTTCGGGGCCTCGGGAGAGACCGTGCGATGTACCTGCTGGGCCCGGAACGCCGCGCCTCTTGGGCCCTTGCGCCCCGTCACCTATCGAAGACAAACCCAGGAGCTCCACGAACTCCTCAGCGCGTATCGAGAGGTCTTTGAGGAAGTGGATGTCTTGAGGCCTGTTTCCTGGGCTCCCGGCCTGCTCCTCCGTGCTCGCGACCGCAAGAAAGTGTTGGATCCCAACCCCTCCCCAAGGGTTCTAGGATTCTACAAATTGGTACTCGCCATGTTCACCTCTATAGGCTCTCTTCCAGTCTCAGTCAGTCCGGCGCGCGGGGGCGCGCGCGCGCGTGTGTGTTTTCTAGCTTGCGAAGCTTCGCAAGGTTTGGGTTTTGCGGCATAACCCTAAACCCTAAACCCTAAACCCTAAACCCAAAAACCGTAAACCCTAAACCGTAAACCCTCGATATCTTCACTTCAATGCACCAGACGGCCGAAAGCGCTTGCAGATCATGGCCGAACTTCAAGTCAACCCCCGAAAGAGCCCAAGAAGCTGCGTAACGGGCAGAGGCCGATAGGTGGCCTGAAATTACCAATACTATTTTTTGGGGGTTCCTTGTTTACATTGTAGTATTATATGCCCCAAACCCCTATTCATTCTAGTTATTGAGGCTCCTGTCTTGCATGTGTTCGGTTTACGTTTTAATACCCTAAGCCGAACTGCCTGACGCGGTAGGTCTTCATCAGCGACGACGAGGGCCTGCTGCAGAAGGACGTCCCGGATGTGGATGGTCCAAGCCTGAACAAGCCCACCAATTAGGGTTGCTGCTTCTAATATCTATCACTTGTACCATGATTTGTCGTCTGTTTTGACATTTCTTGCCTCTTTTCTGGGCGTGATTACCTTTTTGGTGTGATGTTCATGTCTGTTTTGATTACCATGATTATTCACATTGCCCACTATCTGATATGATCTCTGTAACGGTTATTTATTGCAGGCATTGTTGCTGCCATCATCCTGTCTGCTGGGGTCCAGGATCTGGGGATGTACTGTAGGGGCCTTAAAAATTAGAGTAGGGTTTTGGCGGTTCCTTAGTCTAAGTATAGTAATATACCCCCAAACTCCATTCTAATTGTTAAGCCCCGTAGGTTTAAGGCGTGTGGGCTTCTAGGTTTAAAGGTTAAGCCCTGTCGCTATTTTGAAGTTCCAAGCTTCATTTTTGCTTCGATTCCCGGGTGCGTGGGATAGTTAGGTATGAGTCGGTCTGCGGCACTGTAAACATTGAGGCCCCCTGTGCCCAATAGAGCTATGATGGCTATGGGAATCTATGAGATGCTCCGGGGAGCTAATTTCTGCGAAAAAATACGGATGATCCAGCAGCCATGGCAACAGAATTATGCTAGAGTCTGGTTGTGCTCGAAGGAACATGGCGGGAGTGACATGCGGGCGGCAGGGCTCAGAAGCAGCAAGGGCAGCAGCAACGGGTGACACTTGGGGCTCCTAGTGCCTGAACCTTAGACTTCTTTGGGGTGTAGGGCCCTTTAATGGGTCAGGGTTTAAAGGTCAGGGCTCAGGCGGCTTAGTTAGGCTTGATGTGAAGCTCCATGGAGACCTTTGCCCCTCTGAACTCCCAGGGAAGCTGCGCGAGTGTGCCACCGGTTTCGGCACCTGGATGGGGTGACAGCGATGCAGGGGGCCAAGCCATGAGCTGCAACTGAAGAGGTCTTCGGGTTTGATATGCTTAGCCATATCATTAGAACAGGTGAATGGAGTATATGATGGCTTGAAAGAATAAGGTTAACCATTAGAACATCATTAGAAAAAGGTCTGGGGGTGAAGTGCTGCAGGCTGTGCCCATGAAAGCCTCAAAAACGGGTGAAAATCGAGGTTTGATTGGTTCAGGGTCTGCTGACGGAATACTCATGAAAACTTGCTTCTGCTGATAAACCCTACTGTAGCTGGTTGCGGAGATCAATTTTTCGAAGCCGACGGCATCGTCTTTAGTAGTCTCGACACTGCTACTTCAGGTGGTTAAGAGGGGGTCTTTAGTACCCTCTTTCTTGAGTGCGAGGTTTGTGTGGCATCCTCAAGCTTCACTTCACTGTTGATGCTTCTTGTGCTTCCTTGCTTGCACGTCTCCAGGGACATGTTTACGTTGGTAACTGGCAACAAGCCGGTCTTATAGGATGTGTGATGCATAGGCAGGTGTTCTTTTGCTGCCACAGGGAGGTGGTATGTGTTGTTTTGCTACAGCAATCTCTCTTGCGAACTGCGCCTGATCTTTGGCTGCCACTACCACAGCGGTTTTGTTGTGTAGGATTCCCTTGTGCTGCCGCCAGCAGTGTAGCAGCGAGGACGTCTGTATGCATTTGGCTTGCTTTTGTGCACGGTTCCTTGATTGCCAGAGACTTCGACCGGTCATGCAAGTATATCGCAGTAATTCCCGGATTGGTCTGTGCTTTTCACAACCACGACGAGCTCCTGCTGCTGCCACTGCTGCTCGCGACGATGATGCTTGCCACCAGCAGAACTTTTACTGGTACCAGCATCGCCATCTCTACTTCTATTGCCATCGCTACAGTTGCCACCATTTTTGTGTACTATTGCAACTTTCGTTTTTGTTGCCTCGACTCCCATACTACCCCGGCGACGCCGACGATGCGGCTTGGAGTTTTCCACCAAGGTGTGGGCAACGCCTACACCCTGTGCCAGACTTCGATTGCATTGTACTTCGGTGCCGCCCCGTCCTGTGGTGTTGCACTGAGGGCGGAAACAGCGCAACAGCCGCAAATTGCCGACATCATCTTCCAGCTGGCATTTGATCCAGTGCCTTCCTTCCGTGAAACTTACGTCAGTCTTACGTCCTTCTTTACAGCCTGAGCCCGAAAGACCCCCAATCACTGAAAGCTCTTCGCCCCAGAGGATCGGCCCCTGAACCCTCAACCCTAAACCAATAACAATGCGAGCAGGAAAACAACTGGTTTAGGGTTTCGGGTTCAGGGGGCCCTAAACCCTAAACCCTAAATCCATACTCCATACTGCCGAACGATTCCTGCCTGGGCTATGCCAGAACGCGACAGAGGGGTCTTCCTCCAGTAGCCAGGTCCCAGAAGCCACGGTGTATGATACGATGGGTTTAGGGTTTACGGGGTTTAAGGTTTAGGGTTTAAGGTTTAGGGTTTAGGGTTTACGGGGTTTAAGGAGTTCGGGCTCAGGGGATGGGGGGTTTGGGTCGCAGGTTTGGGGTTTGATTTTCGAGTTTACGGTTTTAGGGTTTTCTACTCGATGCTATTCCAAAGGGGACCTTGCTTGTGGAGAAGCCCCTGCAAAGTGCACATCATGACTTCACAGCTGTCCCCGAGCTGGGTGACACAGTGTACAGCGACAGCTGCTGCGGATCACTTCGGCACCTTACAAAGTCCTCTTGTTTAAGTTCTAGGGCTGTTTGGAGTGCAGATACGGGCAAGTACAAGGCCACTTGGCATCACTCCTCGCCACTGCGATTCTATCAGCTGTTTACACTGTTTGTTGTTTCTTGTTTGTTTTCTGTAAGGGTCTGTGCAAGCTTCCCTTCAGGCATGTGCGAGGCTTCGCGAAACGTGGACTATCGCGACACTAAGGATATGCAGTCGCCGTCAGAACACAAGCATGTTTTCGTGAAGCACCAACAGTTCGAGTGGTTGTCGCATTAGCAGGTATGGTGCAGTTTGAATGGCGAAGACGGCTGAAGCGGGAGTAGCGTCACGCGAAATATCAACACGCAATCGTATTTGCTATAGTTGTCTCCGTTGTCATGCATTCAACTCCATTCGTGGCAAGAGCCACAGAAGCATGAATAGTTTGTAGTCCGTGGAATCTTCAGTCAAGCCCGAAACGGTCTCGGCAGCGGTGGTGGTGCAAGTACTACTGCTACGACGACGACGACGACGATTACTACTGCTACGACGACGACTGCGCTTCTCAACTAGTGCTAGTGAAAGTACAAGTGCTAATAGTGCTCGTCGTGGTCGTAAAAGTATTACTAGTAACAGTACTAGTACTAGTACTTTCTACTACTATTATTATTACTTCTAGTACTACTACTGCTCCTCCTCCTACTACTGCTGCTACTACT